TAGAGAACGGAGAAGCACCCGCCGGAGATATCTCTTCGGAAACGCGACCGGAAGCTTGATGATGGAGAAAAGGTTTTGTCGCAGCGGTGAAGAAGGAGAAAACAACATGAAGAGGTTACGAAATCTTGGGTTTCTAAAAATCCCAATTTTTGAATTTTGAATTTGCTTGATTTTAGGGATTTCATATATCTTAATAAATATTTACCAATTTCATATTTTATTAATGATTTAATATTGAGATGGATATATTAGTAATTTCTATTATGGGTACCATCTATTTTGGAAATTATGTTAGACAAAAGTGTAAATTCTAGTACTTTCAATCCTTTTATGTAATTAGGTCTCCTAAATAGACCATGCTAATCCCTAAAATAGAAGACTATAATAATTTGGGCTCTGGCCCAATAACCTTCAATTATTTTTCCTTCTTTTGTCTCCAATTCCAACAATCTCCCACCTAGAGACAAAATAACAATTTCACCTCCCACTGCAACAACAATGTTCCATCATCTTGGCAACCTCAACAAGACTCAGTTCTAACTGCACCAATAGTGATTGACTCAACAACTGCTCGGCCCCATTCAAGCTCTGTCTGTGATTGCCCCGAGACTAAGCAATCCAACGTGGTTTTGTCTCCCAGACATTAGAGACACAGCCACGTGCTCCCTTTGCGAAGCTCGCCCATTCAAAGCCCTAAAGTTCCAAGCTCGATCTAAGTGGTCCCATTCGCTTCCTTTTTCTATGGAACCCAACGATCTCCGAAAGAAGATTCCCTTGATGAATTGGAGCCCCACCCAAGTCTGTTGCCTTTCTAGAGACATCACCCTTACTGTAGTATTCTCCCTTGATGCACTCTCTTGCCTATGCGACTTCATCAGCTCGCCAAACCATCTGACAACTGGGGCTTGAAACCGACAACCTATTGAACACCTCATAGCAAATTCTTCTGATCTGTCATGGTTGTCAATGCTGCCCACTGGTCTAAAGTTTTCCCTGGACTTCCTCAGATAAGACGGCATCACAAATAGCTGAAAAACCTACTCACCGAGGTTTCCTCCTCCATGTGGATATTAAAATACTTCGAACATTCATCGACAAAGACCATTCAAACTGAAATTCTCTCCGGTGAACTTTAGTAGGGTGGAGGATCGAACTCACAACCTGAGATATATGTCAATTACTGTTGAGCTATACTTGCTTTGGCGCTTTGATACTATCCTTATTATATTATATGAACTTTTTAGGCAGACCAAGCTTAGTCCAGATCTCATTTTTTAACCGGGTGTTCTAAAACCTATTAGAATTAACCATAGTTTATTAATTATAGTTTAATCTTGATTGTTTGATAGTTTAGTTTACAATTCAATTTGTTACTATAAAACTTGGTTGTATATACAAATTAAAGAAGCCTTATAACTAGAGTTTAATCTTGATTGTTTGATAGTTTAGTTTACAATTGAATTTGTTACTATAAAACTTGGTTGTATATACAAATTAAAGAAGCCTTATATATGATAACAGAAACGGTAGCATTTTTAATATTCATAAAGTTCTATCCAAACCAATAAATAACGAGAGAAGTAAGGTATATTTTAGACTCCGCCGATGTACCACATCCTCCTCATATTGTATGTGGCCGGCACACGTGCGAGTGATTTGAGGTTGAAGTTTGGAGTTGGGAGGGAAAGGCTTCCCAATCCCATCTATAATATGCGGTGTGGAATTGGAAGCTATGTGGCACCTTCCAAACCTGCCCCTTCGAGGCCATTGCTCCTGCCCCACCAGTTACTTTTTGACACTTCTGCCCATACTTGCAATCCAAATTACGAAATTTCCACAAACAATTATATAAGCTTAAGTAAAAATATACTTTTTTTTCGGCAACGAGAGTTTTAAAAACCTATGTTCAAGGTAATACTAGAAAAGTATATCTTATTATACTGATGTGTCAGAGATTTACTTTACTAAATTAAACACCAAAAAAAAAAAATTATTAGTTAGGGCGATTAGGTTATTATTGTAATTGTAGAGGGTAGTTTGCGGAGAAACAAATTCTAAAATTCAGAATTTGGAGATGTTATCTACTGGTTGTAATCCGAAGAAAACTTAGCCGCTCACTTTCACGAACTCAGAAACTCCACCGTTCTCTGCTCTGTTCCAAATCTCCGAGAGAGAGAGCGGAGAAATCGGAAGACGATAATGGCGGCAGAGTCTGTGAGAGCGGCTTCTTCAGTCTGCAATTTCAATGGCTCTCAGAGAAGGCCCACAACGCCTCTCCCTCGAACTCCCTTTCTCCTTCGTTCTTCCCGACCCTCTTCTTCCTTTTCTCTGTCTTCGCGCTCCCAATTCTTTGGAACAAATCTTCGTTTCAGCTCATTGGCTTCGTCCCAGCTCTGTAATTCACGCCACCAGAACAGACGCAACCTCTCTGTCTTTGCCATGGCCGCCGAAGGTATTCTTTCTTGTCCTTCAATTGCGAGTTTTTCAATTTTAAGATGAAATTTGTCAGCACTGAATTGGGGAAGCTCCTTTGCTATTAACTGGACTATTTACATGTTCTCAATATTCTTTGAATTTTCTATTTGAATAGCTTTGGGTATGGAAAGAAGCTCAAATTCAATGTGTGTTTCTGTTGATACCCGTTTGATATTTTAAAATTAAAAAAACCCTAGCTATTTTTCTGCTTATTACCAGAATTGGACGTGTTCTGAAGTTTTAGGACTATTTGACTCTTAGCTATTGGTTTCAATTTCCTTGCTTTTAATTTCTGCACGGGTGAGTCCATAATGAAATTTGGTTAAGTTATGAAAAATTTGAAACTATATAGCCTTGGTTCTAATTTTGCTGAAGTTTTTGGAAGTACTGACTTTTCTAGTTTAATGCTTTATAACACAACTGCCCACTCTTTCACAATTGCAAGCTATCTAAGGAAGCTTCCCAATAGGGATATACTTATTTTTTCACCTTTTGTTTGCAGATGGAAAGCGCTCGGTCCCGCTTGAAGATTATAGGAACATTGGAATTATGGCTCACATTGATGCCGGTAAGACGACTACCACCGAACGTATTCTATACTACACAGGAAGGAACTACAAGATAGGGGAAGTGCATGAGGGAACAGCTACAATGGACTGGATGGAGCAAGAACAAGAAAGAGGAATTACCATTACTTCTGCTGCAACTACGACATTTTGGAACAAACACCGGATCAATATTATTGATACTCCGGGTCATGTTGATTTTACCCTTGAGGTGGAGCGGGCTCTTAGAGTATTGGATGGAGCGATATGCCTATTCGACAGTGTTGCTGGAGTTGAACCGCAATCTGAGACTGTGTGGAGGCAGGCTGACAAGTATGGAGTGCCCAGAATTTGCTTCGTCAACAAAATGGATCGCCTCGGAGCAAACTTTTTCCGAACAAGAGACATGATTGTGACGAATCTGGGTGCTAAGCCGCTTGTTATCCAATTACCGATTGGCTCTGAAGATAATTTTAAGGGTGTTATTGATCTCGTGAGGATGAAAGCTATTGTTTGGTCAGGAGAAGAGTTGGGTGCAAAGTTTGCTTATGAAGATATTCCAGAAGACCTTCAGAAACTCGCTGAAGACTATCGGGCGCAGATGATTGAAACTATTGTTGACTTGGACGATCAAGTCATGGAGAACTATTTAGAAGGAATTGAACCTGATGAGCCTACCATTAAGAAACTGATTCGGAAGGGGACAATATCTGCTTCTTTTGTTCCTGTATTGTGTGGCTCAGCTTTCAAAAACAAAGGGGTTCAACCATTACTTGACGCTGTTGTGGATTATTTGCCTTCACCGGTTGACTTGCCGCCCATGAAGGGAACCGATCCGGAGAACCCTGAAGTGACAGTTGAGAGGGCTGCCAGTGATGATGAACCATTTTCTGGACTAGCTTTCAAGATCATGAGCGATTCATTTGTAGGATCCCTAACATTTGTGAGAGTATATGCCGGGAAACTCTCTGCAGGATCTTACGTATTGAACTCGAGCAAAGGAAAGAAAGAGAGGATTGGTAGACTTCTAGAAATGCATGCAAACAGCAGAGAGGATGTAAAGGTAGCCCTTGCAGGGGATATTGTCGCTCTAGCCGGTCTCAAGGACACCATTACTGGTGAAACCCTGTGCGACCCGGAGAATCCTATCGTACTTGAAAGGATGGACTTCCCTGATCCTGTAATTAAGGTTGCGATCGAGCCCAAAACTAAAGCTGATGTCGATAAGATGGCGACTGGTTTGATTAAGCTGGCTCAAGAAGACCCTTCGTTCCACTTCTCGCGGGATGAAGAGATCAACCAGACTGTGATTGAAGGCATGGGAGAGTTGCATCTTGAAATCATTGTTGACAGACTCAAGAGGGAATTTAAGGTTTGTTGCTTGACATTTTACTCCTAATGAAGACAATCATTATTGCTTGAAAGTATACTTTTGTAAGAGCCCAGTTAACGGTAAAATTGATTTTTTTGATTGCTTGGTTTAAACAGGTTGAAGCTAATGTGGGTGCACCGCAAGTAAACTACAGAGAGAGTATTTCGAAAATTTCTGAAGTGAAGTATGTGCACAAGAAACAATCTGGTGGTCAAGGACAGTTTGCTGACATTACCGTGCGGTTCGAACCGATGGATGCAGGAAGTGGATACGAGTTCAAAAGTGAAATCAAAGGAGGAGCAGTGCCAAAAGAATACATTCCGGGAGTGGTGAAGGGATTGGAAGAGTGTATGAGCAATGGTGTTCTGGCTGGCTTTCCCGTGGTTGACGTTCGCGCTGTGCTAGTCGATGGTTCGTACCATGATGTAGATTCAAGCGTCTTGGCCTTTCAACTTGCAGCCCGGGGAGCTTTCAGGGAAGGGATGAGGAAAGCAGGTCCTAGAATGCTCGAACCAGTCATGAAAGTCGAAGTTGTCACCCCTGAGGAGCATCTCGGAGACGTAATTGGAGACCTCAACTCCAGGAGAGGCCAGATAAACAGCTTTGGTGACAAGCCCGGCGGTCTCAAGGTATGCCACAAACCTATCCCCTCTTTCCATAATGCACATGATCACTTCTTTTCATCAATCAACTATCACGCCCTCAATACAGCATCTGGTTGAAAAAGTTTCGAACGAATGCAGGTCGTGGACGCGCTGGTTCCTCTGGCCGAGATGTTCCAATACGTCAGTACGCTAAGAGGGATGACAAAAGGCAGAGCCTCATACACAATGCAGTTAGCCAAGTTTGAAGTTGTCCCTCAGCACATCCAGAACGAGCTGGCTGCCAAGGAGCAAGAAGTTGCGGCTTGATTTTGGTTCCTGTTTTGAAAAAACCTGCGATTCTTTGTCTGTTGGATGAGGGGTTTGGTGTTCTATTAGCTATTTTTATGCCATGTTTGTGCAAGGATTGGTGTTCTTGGATGGAAGATCTGAAGCGACATACAACAACAACGTTTAAATGTCTCTAACATTAAGCCCTCCTACAAAGGTGTAATTATTCAAATACTTGGCTGTTGATTTGTTAAATCCGACCCAAATGCGAACAATTTTGAATGTAATAATTAATTTCTTCATAACAAGCAAGAATGGCCATTTATATCCTTCTTGGAAGAACTACTTTAGATGAATTTAACGTTTTATGGAGTAATCCATGTTAGAAGACCAAAATTGTCTCACAAGGTTCAAGAAAGAAATGATTTCTTTTTTTTTTTAGAAATGATTTTAAATGTTATGATTTGAAATTTAAGAAAAGAAATGATTTTAAATGTTATGATTTGAAATTTGAGAAATGATTTATAGTGAGAAAGATTTTGAATGAATGTAATTTATTTTGTTTTGGAGCTTCATTGGAAAATAAAAAATTTACAATTATAAATTTTTAATCTTAGTTTATTAATTGAAAACTAAACTATAAAAGAAAATAAAAGGTTTACAAATACAAATTTTTCATCTTAGTTTATTAATTGAAAAGTGAAAACTAAACTATGACAGAAATAAATAAGTAATTTATTTTAATCAATCACAAGAAAATTGAATAAAACATAAATTACGGTAGACGAAGGTCGTGGTTAATAGCCACACGTTCTAACCAACTGAGCTACTCCAACCGACATATATTTGTTTATATTTTTTATTTATATAAAATTTACTGAACTATCAAATTAATATTAGAATAAAATACACTTTTGATGAATGAGTTTAAGGATAAGTTTTTATTTGGTCCCTAAGTTTCAAAAAGTGACATTTTGGTCCCCGGCCTTTAGAAAATGGTTCTCTTGAGCTTATTTGACCGTTAGATGACTAACGGAAAAATAACATGGTATAATTGAGTTGGCAAGTTTTAAATTACGTGACAATGTTAAATTATTTTATATTATTTGTATCTTATGTGTAATTGTTTTCTTTCTTTCTTTTTTTTTTCTCTCTTCCTCTTTCTCTTCCCTTCCTCTCTCCCTCTCAGGATCGGCTTAAGTATAGGCGAGCAAGGCGATCGCCTAAGGCTCCAAATTCTAAAAGGCCTCACATTTCTCATATATTAGTATGTATAATATAATATAATGTTGTTATCTATTTATTAGTTTTTAATTATTAATATACTTAAAAATATAAAATAATATATACCATGTTCTATTCAAATTAATAATAAATATACTTCTCTTGGAAAAAAAAATCTTTAATTAAATATAGATCTTTATAGAAAACCCATAATAAATTAGTCACATAAATTTATCTAGATTTTAATTTTTAATTTTTTTTGAAGGAAATGAAACTAAAGTCCAGCAAACTAAGAAAAAATATAAGATCGGGCATGAAGACCCCATTACATATGCAATCTATATGGCAAAAGAGACTATTAGAAGGCTCTTCACAAATATGTAAACCTAAGACAAGAAACACTGTTTGACTAGCAAGTCAATTTGTACAAGAATCGGCTTCACAATAAATTTGTCGGATACTAATCCTCCATTCTAGAAAAAAGAGGTTCTCAATATTTAAGACATAGACAAAAGAACTCTCGATTTTAATTTGATACCTTTCAAATTTTGTCATTTTTATCTTTCTCTTCATGTTTAAAACCTTTACAAATTTCGTTAAAAAAACTCAACCATAATATAACCTCTCAAAACACTCTCAAGTTTTAGATCGTTTGTATTCTTTCTCGTTTTATTTATTTTTTTCACAATTAAAAATTTTCGAATCCTCTTAAAAAACTCAACCATAAATATTTGCGGTAGATTATACTAATTTTAACTTAATTCCGCCTCTCCCCATTGTTTTTAATAAAAACCAAAGCTTCAAATTTGGATTATTCTATGTTTTTTAGTTCTATTTCTTTTATTTTTTTTAAAAAAATGTATTTCATATTGTTAGCTACGTAAATATTTGAGATTTGTTTAGATTTGCTTATTTGTATTAATATATAATATTAATGTATCCATAAAAAAATATGAATATAGATATGAAAACTTAAAAAAGATTAAAATATAAAAATTTATTGAATCTAAAAAAATTGAATATCAAAATATGTTATCAATAATTTTTTAATAATATAAAAATAGCAAAAGAAATGATAGGTATAAACTAATCAAAATATTAAAAGAAAACAGTAGATAATTATATTTTTTAAAATGGAGCATCTAATCAAAGTTCAACTAAAAAAATAGTCATATTAAATATCCCTTTCAAAGCTTTGCACCACGGATCATCTCGACGCACCCCTGCTCCTCTCCTTGGATTTAGTTGCTCCGTTTCTTACTTTCTCTCATCAACACACCAACAACGCCTCTCCTCTATAATATTGTATCTAATGACTTACAGATAGATAGCTACGCGAACATTTGGATCCAATGCGTCACCGGACCATCGAAGGTGCAAGCATTTGGATGTTAGATCTAGTGCGATCGCCGGTCCATCCCACATCTTCGTAATCTACCTCCGCCGCCCTCAAATCAACCCAGAACGATCAATCTACTCTGGAGCCTCGATACTGTTTCCATCTTCAAGGACATCGGCACCACCGTCGGGTTCTCGCCGACCTTCTTTACTCCGCCGTCGCCTCCTACCATCACCCCCGCGGACCATGGATCGTCCTTATTGTTGGCACTCTCTCTGAAAATTCCCCCATTCGAATTTTCTCTAACTGCAGTATCTGAAAGTTGAATTAATTTTTGGGGGAGAGGTAGCGGTGGTTTCGAATAGCTAGAGAAAGAAGAATCGGAGACGGAAGAGAGGGGGAAGAGGAAAAACGAAGAAGAAAAGATCCTAGTCAATAATTTTCTTCAAAATAAAAAGAAAAATATAACTCATCAAATAAAAATAATATAAAGTTATTTAATATTATTATGTCATTCAAAGTTTATCTAACTCAACTACGTCACATCATTTTTCCATTAGTCAACTAAGAGTCAAATGAGCTTAGAATCATTTTTCAAAGGTTAGGGATCAAATTGTATAAAAACTTATCCTCAAACTCAGAGACCAAAAGTGTATTTTACTCTTAATTTTAACTTTACCTATATCAATTTAAAAAAAGTTGCCTCCAAGTTGTTGTGCCTTTTTATATACTCTCCCTCCCTTTTATGATCCATTTACATAAATTAGGGCTCCTGTCAGACTCTCGCAAATAAAAATGAAGGTTAAGTCTTGAAAAATATCAAACAATAACAACAACTCACAACTCTATATCATCAAGAGAATGATGATTAATATTTTAAAAAAGAAAGAAAGAAAGAAGAAGAGAATGATGATTAAAAATTATATTTCAAAGAGTTCTTTTAGACAACTTAAAATTTGTAAGGGTTAAAATAAAACTTTATAAACTATAAGAATAAAATTGAAATTCTAAGTCAATAATTCAAGGGGACGTTATACTTTAGAAGTATTTTATACAATTTAACCTTTTGTGAAGTAACTTTGGAGGGAAGCCAGGATTTGAAGGTCTTTTACGCTGAGGCCACACAGAAACAGGTGTTGAAGGCATGGAGGATTTGGTCCCACCATTCCCCTGTCGTGTCGACCTCTGATTTTGCATGCTCTGCTTTCTTCCACCGCCGCTCCATCTTCAAATACTTCTTCTTAATCCCTTGTCTGCTTCTGATTCTCCATGGCGTCTCCGGCGACCTCCTCCTCTCTCTTTCTTCCACTTCTGCTTCTGGTGGCTCTGTTTCTCGCTTATGGCGGCGGCGGCGCTCAGGCGAAGAGGGTCATCCGCATGCCCACCGAGAGGGAAGAACCGGACGACGATGCCGTCGACAGAGAAGGAGGAACCAGATGGGCGGTTCTCGTCGCCGGTTCAAATGGGTTTGGAAATTACAGGCATCAGGTAGCTGCTCTGTTCTTTGCTCCATTATTTAAAAAGTTAAAATTGGGTTGAAGACAGAGTAGTAAAATGGGAAAAGGGGTTTTTGATTGCAATGGGAACAGGCGGATGTGTGCCATGCGTATCAGCTGCTGAGAAAAGGTGGAATAAAGGAAGAAAATATAGTGGTGTTTATGTACGATGATATAGCCTCGAATGTGCTCAATCCCAGGCCTGGAGTTTTAATCAATCACCCACAGGGTCAGGATGTCTATGCTGGCGTCCCCAAGGTACTTTTCTTTTCCTTTTCTTTTTCCCACTTGCCAAACACTAATTTTGAACCCAAAAATCTGAAGTAACTGATGCTGATGAGCTGAACCAGTTGTAAAGAAAGATACCCAAAAAGTAGGACTAAATGTTTGCTTTAAATCTGATAACGCCCTGTTTCGAATGACTACTTTGTTATGTTTGTGAGAATTGAGCATATAAACTTTGTTTCAACCCAATTCACTTTGTTAGGATAGAGCAATCTAAACAAGACTTAACTAATTTCCAAAAGGAAATACCAGTCGAGTAAGGGTCGGTTTGGTTCTACTATGATATGAAGATTACAATGAAATCTCATGTTCTACCACAACAATAGCTACCTTATTCCTAAGTACTACAACAATAGCTGCCTAGACTTTCACACTGGAAATCTTGCTAAACCCACGAGAACGGGCTATCTCCAAGATCTACAACCACCCCTCAACGCCACAAATTTGTAGTTTGTTGACTCTTTTCTTTGCCTTACGCCTGTGTCGCGACGCTTTGACTAGTGTCTCAATGTTGTTCTCGTTCCTCTGAGGCCTTGAATTCGCACAAAACTCCAACCCTTCTTAGATATGAAGACTTGTTTTGTCTCTCAAATTCTAACAGACCTTGTTTGTCATTTATGTTCTCTTTCTTATAAACGTTTTCAAAATCTACCTTCAAGAAGCCTTTAAAATCTTCTTTGTTTTTGAAATTTGGCTAATAAAGTAAACCTTCCTAAGAAAAATGGAAAAATAAATAAATTTTGAGGAAACAAACTTAATTTTTAGACAAAATTGATATCAGATAGATTTAGATTTAGGGTGTGTTTGGGAGTGATTTTGGTACGAACAAGTTAAAAAATTGATTTTTGGAATCACTAGATTACTGAAGTAAAAATCAATTGATACAAATTTATGGGGCCATTGGGCTTCCTGGTTATGGAGGTTAATGGTGGAACTATGCAGGATTACACAGGGAAACAGGTCACTGCCCAGAATCTTTATGCTGTGCTGCTTGGAAACAAGAGCGCTCTGAGTGGAGGAAGTGGGAAAGTTCTGGACAGCAAACCCAACGACCGGATTTTCTTGTTCTATTCCGACCACGGCGGTCCCGGAGTTCTCGGTCTGCAGGACTAAACTCTGTTTCATTTAAATTTTATCAGATTAAGCTCGACACTGATCATTTCCATATTTCCAGGAATGCCAAACTCGCCTTTTGTCTATGCCATGGACTTGATTCAAGTTTTGAAGAAGAAACATGCTGCTAAGGGCTACAAAGAGATGGTACAGAGAACAAGAAACAGTCCATTTCTCACCACTCTGAGATTGTTTAAACATTTTGTAATGTCACATTTTGCAGGTTATGTATATAGAAGCTTGCGAAAGTGGAAGTATTTTTGAGGGCATAATGCCAAAGGATTTGAACATATATGTAACCACAGCATCAAATGCTCAAGAGAGTAGCTTTGGAACTTACTGCCCGGGAATGCAGCCGTCGCCACCGCCCGAGTACATGACATGCTTAGGAGACTTGTATAGTGTTGCCTGGATGGAAGATAGGTAAAAAAAAAAAGCAAAAAAAACTTAACCCCATTTCTGATGCCATTCTGTTTTGTTTACTAATTTGTTCATCTTGTTTGCTAGTGAGACCCACAATCTGAAGAGGGAAACAATAGATCAACAATACCAGACTGTAAAGGCTCTGTTTTTTCTCTCAGCACATCTACCATTCTTGTTTCTTCATTATGATCACCACCCTTAAAACTTGTTGTGTTGTGTTGCAGGTGAAGAAAAGGACGTCAAATCCCATTGGCTTGAATGAAGGATCTCACGTGATGGAATATGGAAACTCGAGCATTAAAGCAGAGAAGCTGTACTTGTATCAGGGATTTGACCCTGCCTCCGTGAATTTGCCTCCTTTCAATGGTCACCCTCAAATGCGTATGCAGACGATTAACCAGAGAGATGCAGACCTTTTTTCCCTCTGGCAAAGGGTACAAACCAATTTTTGATTTTAGCTCAAGACGAGACCTCTGTTCTGATAATACTAAATTTAACTATTCAGGTTCTGTTTATAACTCTGTTTTTGTTTCTCAATCTCTTTCAGTACAGAAAACTTGGAGATGAAACAACCGAGAAAGCCCAGATTCTGCAGGAAATAAGAGAGACTGTGGCACACAGAGCTCACTTGGATGGAAGCATCAGAGTGATTGGATTCCTCCTGTTTGGACCAGAGGAGGGTTCGGGTTCGGGTTCGGGTTCAAACGTTCTTGATGATGTGAGACCTTCTGGCTCGCCGCTCGTGGACGATTGGGAGTGCCTGAAATCAATGGTACAATATTCAAGTTTGGATACTCAATTCTGGATTACTGAGAATTGGGAATGTGTGGTTTGTTGATGGTTGGGAAATTGAAATTGCAGGTGAGAGTGTTCGAGACCGAGTGCGGGCAGCTGACCCAATACGGGATGAAACACATGCGGGCATTCGCCAACATCTGTAACAGAGGGGTTTCGGAAGCTTGGATGAGGGAAGCTTCGATGGTGGCGTGCAACGGGCGCGGGCGTGATCCTTGGCGTCAAGGTGGTGGTTATAGTGCTTGAAAATGGAATGGATGGATCAGAACACCAATACCCATGTGTACAAAATGTGGCTGAATCTTGAAAGATTTTCATATTTCATTTGATAAGTGTGGGTGTGTGTGTTTTTAGTTCAGTTGGTTAGGGGTTACTGCATCGCCGATCATCAGTTGGTAGCTTTATAAGCTAGTTGAGTTGAATTAAAGTATTGACAGTAATTGTGTTTTATATATAAAAAGCAAATAACCAAGCATCTGTTTGTGTTTGGGGGAAGAATCAAAATGTGTTTAATTAGAGCATGGGGGTAAAGGAATTTGCTAATGGACCAATTGGTCTAAAGAGTGTCAATCTTGTCGTTTGGGCTTTGTATGGGTTATTATGCAAGTAATTTGAAAGTCCACATTCAATGACATGCGTGCTCGTACTTTAATCTAAATAGGGCCTTAACTAAGTATATGCTCGATCGAGCTAAGTTCTAGTTCAGATTGGTTTTTGACGTATTGTGAAAAGAAAAAGAAATTTAAAATGCACATCTTAAAATACATTTAATGAAATTATTTATATCATACAAAGAATCATTGAGATATGTCTCATGATTTTAGCATGATTGAAAAGTAATCTATTGTGTGATGATGTTGCCGGAAAACAAAATGAGTAAAATTAGGCCCATAACACAAAATGTCTAGATGCAATATCTTTTAGACTCTCCAGTGTCAGTCTGGCTATTGATTATAATTAAACTCCAGTTATAAAAATCATTTTAATTAATATTTAGTTTCAAGGTTATAAAATTTGTGGTTTGGTTTACCTTCGTTAATAATTTTTAACCTGCTAAAA